TATTATTATTATTATTATTATTATTATTATTATTTTATTTAGTATAGTGGGTAACTAGTATTTTAATTGCGGTTTTGCCAATAATATAATGATAGAGGAAATAAATAAAAATCAAATCAGAATTGAGTTAAGAAGAGGTTTTTGGAGAGTCCCGCCTTGTGGTTTGAAAACTTGCACGTCACTTTAGATCACAGCCCGACCGCATATAAATTTAGGGTAAACAAAACCATAACTGCAAAAAAGTATATCTATGCATGTTCCATAACAATTTTGCTTATTAATTTGCTTCTTCCCTTTCCCTCTCGTGTTTTTGACCTTATTAATTCATAATGTAACTCGAGAAAATGGAAATAAACAGACTCGGCGTGAGGAAAGGTGCATGGACGAAAGACGAAGATGTTCGTCTCAGGAAATGCATCGAAGAATACGGTGAAGGAAAGTGGCATTTGGTTCCTCTTAGAGCAGGTGTATTATATATGACCATTTTTTTTTCTTATTTGATACATATTTTTATTTGTATAAACAATGTGAGACAACTTTGAAGTAATATTCTAACAAAATTTAAATTTTTTCCTTAATTTTTTGAAGGGTTGAAAAGATGCAGAAAGAGCTGCCGGATGAGATGGCTGAACTATTTGAGTCCAGATATTAAAAGAGGTGTCTTTACAAAAGACGAAGTTGATCTGATCGTGAGGCTCCACAAGTTGCTAGGCAACAGGTATATATACCGTGTCATTTTTTGGTACACTAATTTTCCCTCCTAAAAAATAGTCTGTTATTTTGGCAATTTGTATCAGTACTAGGACATTAATCGCGCAAACGTTTCATTATTTTTTGGAATTAATGTCCAAGATGATACAAATTATAGCAACATAACGTACTATTTTTACGAGTAATATCCCAAAAATGATACAAATTGCAATATAACGTACTACCTCCTAATCTTTTAAATGTCATTTTGACTTTAAAATCAAATATTACTCAAATAAATAACGTTTGGATATTTTGTACATATTTTTCTAGTATTACCTTCATTTAACTAATATATACATTGCGTCTTTTCATATTCATTCTTTATCTTTTCTCAAAACATTCGTGTCCATCTTCATTATGTAAACTTCATTAAGGATCTTGAATAAATAATTTGTGTGTATACGAAACA